TCTGAAACAGAACACAGTTGTCGTGAAGCCGTGAGTATAATCAGGTGAAATAATGATGAACAATGCTGGATCCACAGGAATATCACTGAGTCATTCAAGCCTGATCATCAAACATAACATGAGCACTCATCTTTCAGCACTGATTTTACGCCCTTTTATTCCACTTTACAGCGGGAAATGGAAAGAAGTTTGGCATTTTGCTGTTGGAAGCAAAGATGGGTTTCAAAGCCTAGTCTCTTGACTCCAACTTCTATGTCCTTTCCAGAGGCTTGTCCCATTGAATCGTTTCTCTCACCACCCAGGCAAACCTTTAACCCTCCTGCTGGCTCACCTATGGCTTGGTTTAGGTTGTCCATGTTCCATCATTCACTCGTTTAATAAATGCATACTGAGTGCCCACTATGAGTCAGGCCATGTGGTAAGAGCAAGAGGAGGAGGTTAAGACCCTGCCCCAAGCTGAAGGACATCTCGGGTCGTGGGAGAAAATGAGAACAAAGAGGCAGGCAGCTCTCAAAGTCCACACTTGGAACAGGAAAGCAGTCAGTGGCCTGGATGTGGCCTGGCCAGGGTCACTGCGCAACGGATGCCCTCTCCAGTGCAGGGCCCGCCACGGCACCCACACACTCAGGTGGCACTTCCGTTGTTGGCAGCCACATTGCCTCGGGGGCTCATATCACGTTTGCCATTAATGAAGACCTCAGGTCTCACTCACAGGAACTACTGGAACATGTCCTTCTGAATTTGCAAAGCTTATGTTTTTGTTCACCTAGGCACAGGACTTTACATTTATCCCCATTAAATCTCATCTTGTTAGCTCTGGCCCATTGATTCAAACTGCTGAAATCTCCATAATCCAGGCTCTGCCGTTCGCAGCACAGTTATTTTTTGCCAGCTTTGTGTTGCCAGGAAATTGATCAACACACCTTTTATGTCTTCATAGAAACAGCTGACAAAATTGTGGGCCAGGACAAGGCACACACACAGCCCCAAGGTTGCCAGCAGCAAGCTCGGTCCAGCTGTCCAACGCGATTCCAGTCAAGAGTGAACAACGGATGAATACCCTCGGGGCAGTTATTCAGCCACCTACTAATCCATCCAGTGACATCCTCACACTGTCTTCATTTCCCCTCCCTGTACCAGGTTATTCTGAGCGATGTTGTCAAATATAATGTCTTCCCACGTGTTTATGCCCACATGTGACAATTTAAAAATGCCCTTTCTTCTATTATTCTACGGGGAATATTAAAGTTGCCGCTAAGAGATGCCTGGGGTTATTCCAGACAGAACAAAAGCCAACGTCAAAGCCCTTCTAGCTCACAGACATCCTGGATATAAATGCAGTGGCCACGGACTTCCCATGACAACCGCTTTCAATCAGCGATGCGGACAGGGCTGGAAAACAGATGCCCAGTGGGTTTTAGATATAAAAAGTGTGATCTACCGCCATCACTTTTAATTATCCCAGACTGGAAAAACGGGTGTCTAAACTGGCCAGCCTGTACAATAAAGCATTTTGATCAAAGATGCAGTTGCACACAGCACCTGTTTGAGAAATGGCCCGTGAGTCCATGGGGATCAGGTAGAATTATGGAAGTTATAAACAGGCTCCCTGCAGCCCCACAAGAAGACAGCACCACTGTGAAAAATGCTTCTCAGGGGAAACTTTGAGTTTCTTTAACATTCAATTACGGCTATACAAACACGGATTTTAAGGGCTCGGCATCCGATCTCCATACGAACTGGGGATGCTAGGAGGCAAGTGAAATAGATTCCCTGACACAACTCCTTCAGCCCTGCTCCATGAAGAGCTGGTTCCTCACGGAAGCGTTTCTGAGGAGGGTTAATGAGGTGAGGCTGTTGGTGTCAGCTTTAGATTATGGCTCAGGTGGTTTAAGGGACTGGAGTCATCTTTATTGTGGTTATGACTGGGAGGCAAATTTTCACTTAAAACATTTCTGGATACTTAAAGACCCACTATTCAATGTTTAGCCCTTTGAAAGTTGGAGTACTTTCTAAAATCCACCATTATCTTTTATGAATAATAAATAATTCAACATTCTTTTTTTCAATCATTATCAAATTTTTACAAGTTTTTTCCTTCAAAATAAAGGATCTTTCCCCCTAAGTTTAAAAGGAATATTTTCTTGTTGTAAAACACTAAGACAATAAAGAAAGCAGAAGTCTATAATCATACCACTCAGAGAGAAATGTACATATAATTTTAAATTAAACTGAATAATCCCATATAAACAATTTACTAACATGCTGTTTACATTAACTATATAATGAACATTTTCACATTAATAAATACCTTCATCATTATTTTAATTACTGCATAGGTTTCTATTTCATAGCTGAGTCATAATTTATTTAATATCCTGTAAATGTACTTTTAGCTTGTACTTTTATCTTTGATTTATTATAGTTTCTCTGAAGTGGATGACTGGGCCAAAGGCTATGCAAATTAAAAATTCTATTATATACTGAGCAAGTGTTACCTTTGCATCTGCAACATTAAAAGCTAATAGCATACAAGCATTTTCACTCTAAAAAACTGTAGATTTTTGGTACTGTCTCAAAAAGAATAGTCCATTTGGAATAGTCCCGTTTTCAAAAAAAAAAAATGTTAGACTAAAGTATTTTGGGGAACGCCTTATTAAAATAATAGTATTACCATGCTCTTATTATGAAAATGTTACCTGTACATACAGAATCTCTAAAATTGGTATGAGTAGTGGAATTAAAGCTACTGAGTATCACAGGAATATATTCAACATTCTCCATATAGTTTCTAACATGTAGGTTGACGGCGAGGTTGGGAAGAGAGAAATAAATTGAGAAGAGAGAGTTTTATGTTTTCGACTTGGCTAATTTTGAGATCATCTTGCGAAAGGCTCAGAACTGAAAGTGAGCGAGTGACGGCATCTTTTAAATGATATTTCATGCACATTAGCCCCGTCCCGTAGTCGCTGTGTGTTACACTATCTGCAGTGAGGGAAGGTAAGTCATGTTCACAGGGAACCATCAGCGAGGCTATTGAACCACTTTACAGATGGGCTCTAAGAAACGCATTTTCATACAGAAAAGTCCGTCCATTAGAAAGCTGAATGAGAAAGTAGGATATAAAATTGTAGACAGGCTATGATATAAATTCAGAAGACAAAAGAAGCAAAGCTTTAAGCACAGGAAAAAAAAATCTCTATAAAAATTCATCAAAATATTAACCAAGGTTGTCTTTGGTATACGAATACATTTTTTGGGCTCTTTGTTATTTTTTTTTTTTCCTACAGTTTTCAGTTGTGTGCATTAGACACATATTTCTTTTATAATAAAAACGAATAACTTAAGGTTTTTGCTAAGTCCATTTCCATTCCTCTACATGCAATTATAACACCTTCTAAGAAGTTCAGCCAGCCTCATTCACGCCATTGTCCCTCCAATAATGTGATAACAGTAGCAATTCCAATAAAGGAATTTCCTAAATCCAGCTGCCAATCATAAATTTCCAAAGAGTAAACGTATCGCCACAGGAAGCCTTATTTTCTTTTATACCTTCCCAGGGAACACCTTACTTGCATACAATGAGATATTTTCAAAATCATATACAAACAGCAATGCACAAAAATCAAAAGGCCACACAATATTCTTACATGGGAAAAAAAAAGCATACTAAAACATTTACTTTGCTAAGACAGACATACAGAAAGCAACACACAGGTTTCTGTTCAGAAACTTGATTTCCAATCCATGTGTCCGGACCTCTGTTCTCTATTTTAACATCATCAAGTCTCAATGAAAACTAAAAACAAGTTATTTGCTGTTTACAAAGGCTTTTGATCCACGTGATGGGTAAGGCTGTAAGAAATACCAAGAGGCCCACTGCAGATCCCAGGGACCAGGTTCTGCTATTTTACATGTATTTCCTCTGGTCATTTTTGAAATCGAGGTAGGCTGAATGTTAGGATTGGCCGCCAACGGTCTGAAGTAGTTGGATTTGCCTCGTGTCCTAAATCAAAGCACCGGTATAAGGAAATGATCCACTGGTTTGTATGGAGACGCTGAGTCAGGTTTTATGACTCCATGTCCCTGGGCAGAACTCATTCCAGAGAGTCTGGCTCGCTCTACACTCATATTTCAGCAAAAATCAGCATTTCAGTGACGGGAAAGGAATAGGAACCAGTACTTCTGAAAGAGGGAAACTTCTATTTTAAATCAAGTAGGATATGAGAAATTGATTCATACCTTTACATACAGATTACTGATTAGAACGAGACGATTCATTTCTGGTATGAATCACACAGAATGTTCTGGGGCCCCTAAGATCTGAGGAACCCATGGGGCCACCCATAAAGTGTGACAGATAACAAGGACATGAGCTCTTTTTACTTATGCTCTGAGGCAGACACATTTCTCTCCTGAAGACATAGAAAACACAAAATAATAGCGATGTGCTCCAAAAAAAATATAATACAATTTTTCTGGAAATTTATATAAGTTTGCAAAAAGAAAAAAAATTATTTATAATTTTTAAATAAAGAGATGAAATAGTTTATACCAATGAGGAGACTTGCTTTGAAAGGTAAAATAAACTCTTGGTATTTCTCAGAGAGCAAAGAGTTTCTATCCATTTGAAGCTGTTTCACCTTATAGAAACCTGAAATTGTCAAAGGTCAGCTAATATCGGAACGCTGTTATTTGAAAAGAACAAGAGATGCTAAAATTCTATCCTTGAAAAATCAGGCTATGAAAAAAGAGAAACTTTAGAACTATGAACAAAACCTGCTGAGTTACAGAGTTCTTTCTTAGAGCGATAAAATTCTTTGTTTTTCCATTGGATAATTTTCTGACGTTAATTCCAGTCTCAAATCCAAGTTTGGATTATGAATCCACATGCTTAGTTCTGTTTCTCTACATGCCCAGTTAAATTACACAGCAGTTTTCAGACCTAGGAGTCTTAATTTTCTCCTGTCATTCAATAAACACGAATTAACTTGACTTACTCATTTCTTTCCAGATTTATGATCAGCTCTTTGCTTTCCAGTTGTATTAGAAAGTTCAACACTTCTGGATGATTCTGAAAGATAAACAAGAAATAGTTGAAAGACATTTCATTTCGACTTGCCGATTATCTGAACATGCTCCATAGGGTCCGTACTGGGGGAGGAAAATACATCTCCTTCTTGGGAACCTTCTGAGACCCCAAGTACAGGAAACCAGGCCAAGAGTCTGGAAAATGCCTCTTCCCTCTAACATGGCACTGACAAGTCCTACATTCCTGGACGTTGCATCCCTTTCCTTCAGCCATATACCTCTGGGACTTTTTTGAGTCCACCCCCCTACATCAACTCCTTCCGTATCTCTGTCTCTACACAGGGCACCTGCGTTTCCCTAACTGCTGATGCCAGAAGTTTAGAGCTGTCCTTAACTCCTATTTCTCCATCACCTCCTCCATTTAATCCATTGAAAAGTCCTGGTGAATCGTCGTCCTCCAAAATACAATTTCTATTGTCCAGGACTCACATCCCTCCATCCATCATGGTTTAAACCACAATTATGTCTCACCTGGGTCACCACAATGCCCTTCTAATTGGGGTTCCTTGACATCTACCTTTGCCTTCCTCCCATCCGCTCTCTAGCGGCAGCCAGGATAGTACCTTTAAAAACACAATTGAATCGCTTCACCCTATTTACAATAAGCCTTCACTGGTTCTCCACTGCACTAATGATAAGACGCCAACTCTCTTTCACAGCCTACAGAGGCCCGTAGGAGTCCCTTGGGGGTGCAAATGGTTAATGCACTCGGCTGCCAACCAAAAGTTGATGGTTCGAGTCCACCCAGAGGGACCTTGGAGGAACAGCCTGGTGATCTTCTTCTAAAACTCAGCCAATGAAAACTTATGGATCACAAGAGAGCATTGCCTGATATAGTGCTGGAAGATGAACCTGGTAGGTTGGAAGGCACTATGTAATAGCCACAACAAGGGACTCAAACATACCAACAATCACTAAGACGGAGCAGGACTGGGCGATGCTTCGGTCCGTTGTACATAAGGTCGTCATGAGTCAGAGCTGACTCGACAGCAATCAACAACACTATTCCAATTTGAAAGGTATCCCTATAACTCCTATAGACTATAAGTATATATGTGTATGTGTGTGTGTGTGTGTGTGTGTGTGTGTATATATATATATACTTACAATATTTCAGCTAGATGGTGTATTAACTAACCACATTTTACTACATTTTAAACCAAAATGGATTGTAAGTTCCAAACAGCCAACATTTAGATTAGTGAAAATGAAATGAAATTTAAACAAAAACCACAACAAATGCAGGTCACATTTTTAGGCCAATGTTCATACACGCGTTAAGTAATGTCGTATTTCTGGGTGGAACATCTGTTCGCTTTGTTTCAGCTCTTAGCACGTCTTGTAGTCTTCCTATAACCAATACGGACACATTTGGCTATTGAAATTTAAATTAATTAAAATGAAATACAATTTAGAAATCAGTTGCTCAGCCGCACTAGCCACATTTTAAGACTCCACAGCGCCGTGTGGCTAGTGGCTACTAGTATTGGGCAGGGCAGATATTGGACATTTCTGTCTTTGCAGAAACATCTATTGTGCAGCTCTGAATCAGCAGTGATAAGTACATAAAACCTGGACAAACTCAGGTACAAACCCAAGGTATTTTTTTTATGTGCTTTAAGGAAGGTCTTCTCAATTTTAATTGATGGATGATATTAATTTATACTCATTAATTATATCTTAGAAAAACAAGAGTATTAGTTATGTTTACAACAAAATGTTAGACCAAAAATACGTCTCAATATTTTGTCAAACAGCATAGTATGTATAAGTGTGTATGTGTGTGTACGTGTGTGTATATAAAACTTATTGTTTTATATGTGTGTTTGTGTGTGTATAAAAATAACTTGGTTATTTTAACTAAAAATTGTGCTTGCTAAGATATTGACACATACATAACTATTTTAAAGGGAAATCTCCACAATTGCATTTGTGAATAAAAACCACTTGCAGCACCTTTTTTTCCCCCCAAAACTGCTCAGCTAGTTTAAACATTGATATTTGCGGTAATTCCACATAAAGTACCTACAGGAGCCCTTATAATGTTTCAATGTCAACATCTGAAACAATACATTCTCCCCAAGGGAGGTGAGAAGATCTTTATCTGTATATTTTAGTTGAGGTATGAACGTTGTTGTCATTGTTAGGTGGGGTCGAGCTGGTTCCGACTCACAGCGACCCTGTATACAACAGAACGAAACACTGCCGGGTCCTGCACCATCCTCACAATTGTTAACCTTGAGCCCATTGTTGCTGCCACTGTGTCAATCCACCTTGTTGAGAGTCTTCCTCTTCTTCGCTGACCCTCTAGAAGGTATGAATGGTACAGCAGAAATCAATACAGAGGAAGAACAGAGAGCTATTTTAGTTCAAAACCACTAACTGCATTAGATTTCTTAGTTTAAAAGCATGTATTCATTCCATTTTCTCTTGATTGCTATACTTCAGAGATAATGAACTAGTACTGGTTAAATACGGCATTCCTTTCTAAAACACGATATATTGATTACCCTAATGTAACTGTGCCTTTTATTGAATCCTTAAAGAATTGCTTCTGCTGAATAAATCAATCAAATCCTAATCAACAGGCTGGAAACGTTTGGGCAGTAATTATATTTCTACTTTTTTAAATTGGGAATAGTATGTCTAAAAGCGTACGTAAAGTGTATTGAGGCCAGTTTAAAAAACAATAAAATCATCACCTGCCACCCAGCTTAAAAAGCAGAACATTACCAGAATCTTAGGAACCCTTTCACCCCAATGTCATCACATTCTCCTTACCTCCCCATTAGAGGTAACCATTATCCTAAATTTTCTGTTACTGATTATCTTGATTTCCTTTATAATTTATATAGTGTTTAGCATATATATTCTTAAACAATATATTGCTTAGCTTACCCAGTTTTGAACCTTGTCTTAGTTATCTACTGCTGCTGTATAACAGAAATACCACAAGTGGATGGCTTTAACAAACAAATTTATTCTCTCAGTCTAGGAGGCTAGAAGTCCGAATTCAGGGCACTAGCTCCAGGGGAAGCCTTTCTCTCTCTGTTGGCTCTAGGGGAAGGTCTTTGTCATCAAAATTCCCCTGTCTAGGAGCTTTTCAGTGCAAGAAGCCTGGGTCCAAAGGACACACTCTGCTCCTGGTTCTGCTTTCTTGGTGGTAGGAGATCCCCATCTCAAGTTTCAGGATCCCATGTCTTCCCAATCAACGTCCTCACTTTAACTTCGGACACCACTCGAGACTGGGAATTCAGCTGGCATTGTAATTCAGCCACTCTTACGATAAGACTCTAGGTTTGGTTTTCAGCAATATCAGCTCTGTTGCTACAAGAAATAAGGCTTTCTTTCAAGGCACAGTTGGAAACTTTGAGGTCGTTTATGTGCACTTGAGCTTTGACTCTGAAGTCCTGAGCTCATCTCTCTCTTTCATCACTTTGTCTAGCAAAAAGCAGGACCAACCAACCAGTTTCCTTATACTTATCATTATGACAAAATTGTAGAAAGGTATCGAACATGCAATCACCCAGACCCTTGCCTTTCACCAATATCTGATCTACTGGTGGTGATATTTTGAGTATCTCTATTGCTACCTCACACCATGGATTAGCAGTGCCCTCTTTAGTACTGGAATAGACACTTATTCTAGATATGGATTTGCCTTCCCTGCACACAATGCTTCTGCCAAAACTACAACCCATAGACTTACAGAATGCCTCATCCACCATCATGGTATTCCGTACAGCATTATGTTGGATCAAGGAACCACTTCACAGCAAATGAAGCACAGCAACGGGCCCATGTTCATGGAATTCATGAGTCTTACCACGTTCCCCCATCATCCTGAAGCAGCTGGCTTGACAGAATGATAGAATGGCCTTCTAAAGACACAATTATGGTGCCAGCTAGGTGGTAATACCCTATAGGGTTGGGGCAATGTTCTCCAGGAGGCTGTATATGCTCTAAACCAGCATAAACAGGGCTAATGTATTTTCGGTTGTATGCATGTTAGTTATATCACGTTAGGCGCAAGTATGGCTTTATAATTGTCTTTATTCAGAGATTACGTATGGTTTAAGGAGATGTGTATGGATGTCAAGTTGACAAGGGATGAACTGTGATTGTTAAGGTTGTGTGTCAACTTGGCTGGGCCATGATTCTCAGTGGTTTGGCAGTTATGATGTAGTCTGGCAGTCATATAATGATGTGATCATCTCCATAGTGACATTTGATATAATGTGATCACCTCCATGATCACCTCTATGAGTAGCCAATCAGTTGAAAGGGAGTTTCCTTGGGGGTGTGGCCTGTATCCAATATAAGTGGACTTTCTGGCAAGGCTCATGGGCTTTTTCTCGCTTTGGATCCTGCAGCTGGCTCCTGTTCATCTGACCTCTGGTTCTTGGGACTTGAGCTAGCAGCTTACCTGCCATCTTGCCTGTCAATCTTTGGATTCGTCAGTCTTCACAGCCTGTGAGCAAGAGCCCTGCTGTCTGATTTGCCTATCTTGGGTTGCCAGCCCCTGTGGCTACGTGAATCAGGAGAAGCCTCCTCTATAGCCGTGAGCCATTTCCTTAATATAAATCTCTATATATATATATTAATATGCTTTACTAGTTTGCTTCTCTAGAGAACTCAGCCTAAGATAAACCTTATATAAATGGCCTCATACTCTGTACATTCTTCTCAGACTGGTTTCTTTGACTTAACCTTATGTCTGTTAGATTCATCCATGTTGTTGTGGGTAGCTGCAGTTCACAGATTTTCACTGCTGTGAAATGTTCTATTGTATGAACAACTTATACATCCATTCTCCTGTAGATGGACACGTGTGTTTTCTCTCATCCCTCCTCTTCACTTCCGAGTAACGCTGTTACAAACCTTCTTGTGCATATGCTCTCCTCCTGCACAGGTACCACTTTCCCTGGGAATACACCTGGGATGAAATCTCTGGGGGGTGCAGTTTGAACATTTGTGACTGTT